ACATTGAGCTAAATCCCCGGCCAGCATTTTTTTCCTGTAGATATTTTCAGTGTCTTTGGGTGAAAGGGCATTCTACATTAAGCATAGATGCAATTAGTGAAGTGTTGTGATTTATATAAGGTGTAGCTTAAAATCAAAGACCATTGGTACCTTTAAAGGAAGATATATGTATATATTTGGTACCGGGGATCGAACTTGGGTCCTTGCGCTTGCAAGGCAGGAGGCGGAACCATTGAGCTAAATCCCTGGCCCAGGAAGATACATTTTATAGGATATAAATGAAATGAATGACATCGTTATAATAAGTAAAGCTAATTCTGTTTGAAAATCAAGCTGTTGAGGGAAAGGGAAGCTAAAGTGAGATTTTTCCTATGTTGTTTTTTAAGAGAGGACTGAGATTTACTTTTGTAATGTTTTTAAACAAAATATTTATTTTTAAGACAATGGTACCTAGGAATTGAGGTGGAAAATGAAAGAGACTTTCAGACGTAAACATTCTCTTTGCATTCAGTATAACTGAGAAGTGGGGGTGGGGGTTAAGAACTTTTTTCTCCAAGGGGAACATTTTCTCTTGGCTTCCAGAGTGTGGGAAAGGAAAAGGTAATAGGACAATGTGATTGTGGGTAGGAAAAACATTTCTAGAAACCCAAAAAGAGTATGAAGTTACAGAGTGGTATTTATTACATTAATTATGCAACCTCAAGAGGCAAGTCTACCTGCCATAGGGATCTCAGATTTCAGAGGGACCATGTGCCCTCCATTGGCTGCTGCACTGGCCTTTTAAAAGTGTCCCTTATACCTTTCAGCATACAGTCAGGCTTCCTTCAGGTGAACTAGGACTGCTGGCTCATAGTATTTGTTTTTGTTTTTGTTCTTTTTCCTTTTTTGAAACAGTATCTCACTATGTAGTCCAGACTGGCCCTGAACTCACTAGATAGCCCAGGCTGGCCTCTATGACTTATAGTTTTTAAACCATTGGTAATTTACTTGCATAGCTTCAGAGTGTCCTGCCTTCCCCGCCAAGAGGTTAAATCTTAGGTGGAGAGAGGAGGAAGGAGCAGGGTGCGGCTCTGTCCCCCTGGAGAAAGAGCTACTCTGGTTTTGGGAGTGCCTTCTCACCCCCAGGGGCAGTTTGCAGGCTGGGAGGATCCTCTCTAGCCTTTCTAGACCTTATCTCTGCTAGAGCTGGACAGATAGACTAGAATTTACGTAGTATAGGGGCATTAAGCTAGTCCTGACTAAATGATGTCATGCTGCTGTGGTGAGCATGTGTCTGAATCAGGCAGGTCCTGGTAGATATAACAGGAGAAGGTGAAAAGAGTCATGTTTTAATCTTACAAATACTCATTTACTGATGTGAACTGCCAGTCACTTGTTTCATTTCACATGGTGACCTTTTGTCATTTCTTCTGGTCACGTGTCTTGAGCCAACCTCCTGGTATTTGAATTATCTTTTACCATCTGACTGTCTTCTGGGAAGAACAGTATGAAACTCTATGATGTCTCTTGCTTACCAAATCATGACATGAATTCTGCATAGCTATAAAGAAAGGCTAGAGGGATTTAGATAGGGCCTCGCTTAACCACTGGGTATATCTGGAGCCTAGGTCCTAGTGACTTTGGATAAGTGGTGGCACTCAAGATCCATCTTTTAGGCCCTTTCAACCAATGGTGGTGGAGGCAAGGAGTGGTTCCTGATCCTGTGTCTTAGGTTTTTTTAAAAACTGTGATCTACAACTTTGAATCACGTGGTTGGTAAAGATAGACCACAGGGATGGTTTATTAATATAGCTTTATTGTGGGTATTCAATTTATAACAGAAATGTGATACTTAAAAATAAAAGTAGTGACATTCAGGGATTATTCTTAAGTGGGTGAATTCTTACATGAATATAGTATCTGACAGCTGAATTTTTCATCCTCCACATTTTTCAGTTTAAATGTTCAGTTTCATTTTAAAAAGAAAATCATAATCACAGACTTTCCTCCTGGGTGTGACTTCATAGCTATTTTCATGTCAGTATCTCTTTAGGAATGTTTTGTTTCCAATGTGCCTGTCATATTGGTGATATTTTGATGCTGGGGATATGCTATTCTGTGTCTGGTCCTGTAGGCAGGAAATAGTGACCATAGTTTTTTCCTGAGTTGAACAAACCACTGGGAAAAAAGGACACAAGGCTTCTTAAACTCTGTATAATGGACACATGTGCAAATGGAAGGTGATTTATAGTTCAGGTGTTTATTTCATCTGCAACAGCTTTTCCCAACTAGTCTTTAAAGGGTTTGAACATCTCCCCAGAGTTAATATGCTGTGGGTCTTAGCAGGTATGCATTTGTGGTATATATCACTTTCACAGGGTTGTATATTCTTGTCTCTGTAGAAAGTCTACCTTGACCCCAGTATTGTTATTTTCATCAGGAATGCATGATCTTTTACAGATTGTACAAGAAAGAAAATCATTAAATACTTACCTGAAATGTGAAAGACAGCTTCACAGGGACCACTAAAATAGATTTAATGGAGGAATAACATAGTAGATACTGAAGAGCCTAGAATCCAGGAGTATTTATCTGTAAATCATTTAGGCTCATTTTTCCATTGAAAGTTGCCCAAATCAGCTTTAACTTTCTTCCTTTCTGACTTTGATAGTTACTTGCATGGTTCCTCTTTCTCTTCTATCCCTTCTCTCTACTTTTCTCTTATCTTTCCTTCCTCCTTCTTTTTCTCTCCTATGTTTAAGCCTTGTTTCTTCTTCCCGGTTGCCTTTCCTTCCATCCATCTTTTGCTCTTTTCATGGCTGCTTGCTTTCAGGGCAGAAGGGAAGACCCAGTCCAGTGAGATCCCATTACTTCCTGAGGGTCTCAGCACTAGTGAGGGACTGAGCCAGGCCCAGGCCTGTTCTGCTGTTGTAAATCTAGCCGCTGGCCTCTCTTGTGCCACCTGATGTTGTTACTTATTTGGCATTTATAGTATAAAGACGAATGACACATTGCTTGTACTCCCTCAGTGTATAGGCTTACTAGGTGAGACGAGACAAATGCACACATTTGGAGGACGTCTGGAAGGTTATGGAGTCTGAAGATGGAGCACTTTTGGGGTTCAGATAGGACAGTGATCTTCTCTGTGGTGGAAGTTTTACTTGAGTTCCACTATCACTTGTCCTTTCCAGGTGAGGTGGAAGGTCCCTTTAAAAGACCCCAAGCATTGCATATATTTGTTTGTCTGTCATCTTTCTGCCTTTCTCCCCACTTCCCTCCCTCCCCCTCTTGCTCCTACCTTCTTCCTCCTCCCTCTCCTCCCTCTCCTCCCTCTCCCCCCTTCCCCCCCCTCCTTCCCTCCCTCCCTTCTTCCTTCCTTCCTTCCTTCCTTCCTTCCTTCCTTCCTTCCTTCCTTCCGTTTTGCTATGTGGTCCAGGCTGGCCTTGAACTCACTATATAGCCCAGTCTGTCGATCTCTCTGCCTCGGCCTCCCATGTGCTGGGATTACAGGCGTGTGCCATCACACCCAGCCTATTTAGATGTCTTTTCTTTCCCTCGGTACCGGGGATCAAATGTGCTTGTGAGGCAGGCGCAGTTCCACTGAACGAAATCCCCAGCCCTACATGTCTTTCATTTTAAGTAATGGCTTTGCCTCTCCATTTTCCTAAAACTCTTATCTTCCCATCTAAGAGTATTTCAACATGAAAGGAAAATTAGAATGAAATAAAAATGGATGGTTTGTTAGCTAGCTTTCCATTGCTGTGACAGAATACTTGAGAATAACAATTTAAAGGAGGAAAGATTTGTTTGGGCTCATGATTTCCGAGGTTTTAGTCCATGGGTATCCAGCTGCATTGCTCCATTCCTTGCCTGTGTTGAGGCAGGAACATCAGGGCAAAAGGGCATGGTAAGCTGCTCATCTTGGGGGAGAGGGAGAGACAGAGAGACAGAGACAGACAGCTACAGAGACCAAAGAAGACAAGATAGTCTTCGAGATCATACCTCTATGAACAGCTTCCTTCAACTAGGTCCTGTCTGCCGAGTTTCTGTCATCCCCCAATAATGCCATCAGATTGTGAATCTGTTAATGGATCTCAGTGCGCTGATGAAGTTAGAGGCCTCTTGATCTGATCACCTTCCAGAAGCTGCATCTCTGAACACATGAATCTTTGGGGGACATTTTAGATCTAATCTCTGGGAGGTGAATCACCTACTTAGGGGTTAAAAAAAAAAATCCCAGGCAAATTTACTAGTAGATCTCTTTTGGTGAGTTCGGATGCTCATTTTTTTCTGTGGATGAATATTGAAATCTAAAATTAATTGGTTTTTGTATTATAATCTATTTCTTTTTAATATAGCATTCTAAATTTGGCACTGACTATACTAATGATAATTTTGTTCCAGCGCCTGCCTTGCAAGCGCAAGGTCCCGAGAGTTCGATCCCTGGTATCAAAAAAAAAACAAACCCAAAAACTAATGATAATTTTGCCAGTGGAATTAAATACTGTCAAGATTAGAATATGTTTGAAAAAGTAGCTTTTTGTGAGAACAGTATGATGAATCTATTGATAAATCACAGATTTTCTAGTTGATCCACCAAAACCTGCTTTTCTGCTATAACAGTGTGGATCAACTTCATTCTTAGGTAGGAGCCACACTGGTGATACTGTACTGCATTCAGAAAGGATTTCTTTTTTTGAGATGGGGGTCTCATGTTGTAGCCTAGGCCAGCCTGGAACTCACAATCCTTTTACCTGAACTTCTTGAGTGCCGAGATTATTGGCATGCGCAAATCACTATGCCTAGCCAGGAGGGATTATTTTTGAAGCTATAATTACATGGATTTTGTATATATTTTCCAGATATTATTTTGAATTAGATTTCCTCGTTGTACTAAGTACAGTTACCAGCTTCCTCTTTAATGATAATCATTACAGTGTTAGTATAAACTCTCCAGTGACATTTACTTCATCATTACAAATGTTAATTGCTAATGGAATACTTTTTTGTTCCTTTGACAGAACATCTGATCAAATTCATGACCATGGGGGATATGAAGACCCCAGACTTTGATGACCTCCTGGCAGCATTTGACATCCCAGATATGGTCGATCCCAAAGCAGCTATTGAGTCTGGACATGATGACCACGAAAGCCACATTAAGCAGAATGCTCATGTGGATGATGACTCTCATACACCATCATCTTCTGATGTCGGTGTCAGCGTGATTGTTAAGAATGTTCGGAACATAGATTCCTCTGAGGGTGGGGAAAAAGATGGCCACAATCCCACGGGTAATGGCTTACATAATGGGTTTCTCACAGCATCTTCTTTGGATGGTTACACTAAAGATGGAGTGAAGTCCTTGAAAGGAGATGGGTCTACCTCAGAGGTGACTCTAAAGGACTCAGCATTCAGCCAGTTCAGCCCAATATCAAGTGCTGAAGAGTTTGATGATGATGAGAAAATAGAGGTGGATGACCCTCCTGATAAGGAGGATGTGCGTTCAAGTTTCAGATCAAATGTGTTGACAGGGTCAGTTTCCCAACAGGACTATGATAAACTAAAGGCACTTGGGGAAAATGCAAGCAAAACTGGAATCTCTACATCAGGCAATATGGATAAAAATAAAGTAAAGAGAGAAACAGAAACAAATTCCATAAATCTGAGTGTTTATGAACCATTTAAAGTCAGAAAATCAGAAGATAAGTTGAAGGAAAACTCTGAAAAGATGCTTGAAAACAGGGTCCTTGATGGGAAACTCAACTCCGAGAAGAGTGATACCAACCTTGCTGGCGTCACATCTAAGACAAAGTCATCTTCTAAACTCTCCTCATGCATAGCTGCCATCGCAGCACTGAGTGCCAAAAAGGCAGCTTCAGACTCCTGCAAAGAACCTGCAGCCAGTTCCAGGGAATCCTCTCCATTACCAAAAGAAGTAAATGACAGTCCAAGAGCCACCGACAAGTCTCCCGAATCCCAGAGTCTCATCGATGGCACCAAGAAAGCTTCCTTGAAGCCACCGGATAGTCCTAGGAGCGTCTCAAGTGAGAACAGCAGTAAAGGCTCCCCATCCTCTCCTGCAGGATCCACTCCAGCAATCCCCAAAGTCCGCATCAAAACCATTAAGACGTCTTCTGGGGAGATCAAGAGAACAGTGACTAGGGTTTTGCCAGAAGTGGATCTTGACTCTGGGAAGAAGCCTTCTGAGCAGACAGCGTCTGTGATGGCCTCTGTCACATCCCTTCTGTCATCTCCAGCATCAGCAGCCGTCCTATCTTCTCCCCCCAGGGCGCCTCTCCAGTCAGCCATGGTTACCAATGCAGTTTCCCCTGCAGAGCTGACCCCCAAACAGGTCACCATCAAGCCTGTGGCCACTGCTTTCTTGCCTGTGTCTGCTGTCAAGACAGCAGGGTCCCAAGTCATCAATCTGAAGCTTGCTAACAACACAACGGTGAAAGCCACAGTCATATCTGCTGCCTCTGTTCAGAGTGCCAGCAGTGCCATCATTAAAGCCGCCAACGCCATTCAGCAGCAAACCGTTGTGGTGCCGGCATCCAGCCTGGCCAATGCCAAACTCGTGCCAAAGACTGTGCACCTTGCCAACCTTAACCTTCTGCCTCAGGGTGCCCAGGCCACCTCTGAACTCCGCCAAGTGCTAACTAAACCTCAGCAACAAATAAAGCAGGCAATAATCAATGCAGCGGCCTCACAACCACCCAAAAAGGTGTCTCGAGTCCAAGTGGTGTCGTCCTTGCAGAGTTCTGTGGTGGAAGCTTTCAACAAGGTGCTGAGCAGTGTCAATCCAGTCCCAGTTTACATCCCAAACCTCAGTCCTCCCGCCAATGCGGGGATCTCATTACCAACGCGTGGGTACAAGTGCTTGGAGTGTGGGGACTCCTTCGCGCTAGAAAAGAGCCTGACCCAGCACTATGACAGGCGTAGTGTGCGCATTGAAGTAACGTGCAACCATTGTACAAAGAACCTTGTTTTTTACAACAAATGCAGCCTCCTTTCCCATGCTCGCGGGCATAAGGAAAAAGGAGTGGTAATGCAGTGCTCCCACTTAATTTTAAAGCCAGTCCCAGCAGATCAGATGATAGTGTCTCCGTCTAGCAATACTTCCACTTCATCTCTCACTCTGCAGAGCTCTGTGGGAGCTGGCACACACACTGTAACAAAAATCCAGTCTGGCATAACTGGGACAGTCATATCAGCTCCTTCAAGCACACCCATCACCCCAGCCATGCCCCTAGACGAAGACCCCTCCAAACTCTGTAGACACAGTCTCAAATGTTTGGAGTGTAACGAAGTCTTCCAGGACGAGACATCACTGGCTACACATTTCCAGCAGGCTGCAGATACAAGTGGACAAGTAGAGTATCATTTAAATTTTGATGTTTCAGTGATGAGTGTAGCCATGAGTGCTCAGTAAGATGCCTTGATTTTTAGAGATGGCAGAGGAATTAAGTGGAGGAGTAGGTGCATGTATGTTGTGTAAGTAAGCACAGAAGAAGGGATTGTTTTCATAGTAGAAGCAGTGTTGAAACATGAAGATGATTATTTTAAGCCAGCTACAAAGTATATATATATATTGGTTGGGTTATGCTACTTTAGATTTAGATAATTGTTCAGTTGTTGGAATTAGTGTTAGAAGCCTCAGATTTAGCTAATTACAGTGTCACTCAGTTGTATTAAGTGCTCAGTTTGGGTTACATCGTACAGTTCTGAGTTATTAGTGACAATGTTGGAAGCTTAAAAGTTGTTTACTGTTGTTATTTATAATACCAAAATGACTTTTATAAATACACCTAATAAGTACCCATATTTATGGCATGTCTACTTAAGACAGTGGTTCAGAAGTCTATTCAGTACTCTTGGCTAGAGTGAATTTAAGCTTTTCATGTCCAGTTAAATAGCCTACCTTTATGTGTGTTTGCAGTGAAGTGCAAGTTGGTGATAGTGAAGTATATTCCACAGTGTACATCAGCCTTTTATCTCGGTCATTTATTTTTCACCATGAGGAATTTTTGTCTAATAGATAAATGTGTTCAACAGATATACCTAATACTTGGAATAATTGGACATACCAAATGAAATAATTTCAAGCTCCAGAGACCACATAATATATTTTTCAAATCAGCAAATGTGTGCAATGATCCTTTTTTCTTTTCCTCAAGTTTATGCTGTGGTTCAGAAGTCTGGTACTGTCTTGTCGATTAGTTTTTCAAGTGCTACTACTGATTTAAATTATTTGTAAGAGTTTCAGTTTGAAGAATAAAAGATCAAGAGTACCTCAGTTTACTTTGGATTTTCAGGTTAGTGGCAATGGAAACAATGAAGACTTTAGACAACATGCTTGGAGGTTTGATGTTTAATATGTTGGCCGCTCTGCAGCAGTACACTCTAAAAATACAAAAGCAGCTATGTAGTTTGGGGCAGCCCTGATTGCTGTGGCTCTTGGGTTAGATTCTAGTGATAATGCTTGCGGACAACTCTATATCTTGTCATCACTTCCTCAAAAGATAATACAATAAAAGGAAAAAGAGAAAAGCCCCAAAGCCATTTTTTTTAGTCCAGTTTGCCCTACGTTCCTGATTCTGTGTTGTTGGTAGTGTGGAATGATGGACTCTGTCCTGATCCATAAGGGTTTGCACACTACTTTACTAGTAGCCCTCCTCAGTTTGGAACTGCCCTCAGATGTATTTGTCTTCTTTCTCCAGGAACACGAAAGGCTATAGGTAGAAATTTCCCGTGTTCCTCATATCCCTTCAGTTTTTGTTCTCTGTTTACCTTTTAGACTCACATCCAAACTGCTATCAAACAAGGATGTTCTTTCCATATGGGAAGGAGATGAATATCTTCTGTTGTGTGTGCTGTTGCTTTGCTGTTACTTTTTTTTTTTTGTACTGGGGATCGAACTCAGGACCTTACGCTTGTGAGGCAGGCGTGGCGCCACTGAGCTAAATCCCCAACCCTATTACTTTTTTTTTTGGTACCGGGGATCGAACTCGGGTCCTTGTGCTTGCAAGGCAGGTGGTGGAACCACTGAGCTAAATCCCCGGCCTCCTGCTATTACTTTTATATTTTGCTGAGACACATAAAATATGCAAGTCCCCCATATCATTTGGATCCTAAGGAATGAGCCATGGCAGGATGCACATTAACTGTAAGGCCAACTACACATGAAGCAAAACACATTGCTCCTATTTGCTGTCCTTCCCTATTATGTCTACGTAATTCTCATGCTCAACATAATTCTCATGCTAGCACCTGCAAGGAGATAGTGAGCTTCACCTGACAGTGTGGCCATGTCCTACAGGGTTAGAGACATAAAAATGCCCCGCAGGTTCTCCTAGCTTCATTTCCCCTGTCTTACAGTCATGGTCCAGAAGACTGCACATTTTCTTGTTTTCATACACAAACCAGGTGGCTCTCGCTTGGATTCAGGTGGGGAGTCTGGTTTTACCCTAGCATCTCCAGCAGTTACTCCTTTAACATCTACTATGAGACCCACCTGTATCTCTCCCACAGCCCCAGGAGGTCAGCAGCGTACGTGTAGCCATGGTGTACAAGCCTCATGATGTAGTGGGAGGTGGGGTGGCCCTTATCACTTGTCACCAAGTGAAGTATTTGTTAACTGTAGGGCTGCAGTAAGGCAGAAGGAAAAAAGCCAGGCATGCAGGTGTGCACCTGTAATCCTAGCACTTGGGAGGCTGAGGTAGGAGGATCCCAAGTTCCAGCCCAACCTGGGCAACTTAGGCAGATCCTATCAAAAAACAGCTGGAGATGTGTAGCTCAGTGTGAAGACCCTGAGTTCAGTCTCCAATAAACCCCCTACACACACACACAAAAGAGAAGGCAACATAGTCTTCATTCTGTATTTTCAGTTTGCTAGTCACACAACCATTGGGCAGCTTATAACTGTGAACTTGAACTCAGCTGGGAAAAAATATACCTACAGAAATGGTTTCCTTGCAGGCACGGTGGTGTACATCTGATATCCTAGCTACTCTACCAACTAACTCTGGTGCATCACAAGGTCAAGGCCAGTCCGGGCAACTTAATAAGACCCTAAAAATCACAGGGATGTGGCTCAGGGATAGAGTGCTGGCTTAGCTTGCAGGAGGGCCCAGGTTCCCCCCGCCCCAGGCGGGAAAGGCTTCCTTTCCCCGGGCCAGTGGCACTTCCAGCACCAAGACTTTGCTGAGTCTCTCTGCTTTTCTCTCATGTGTGTTGTGTTCCATGGATCAAAAACCTTTCCTTTCTGTTTCACCACTGCCATCTATATTCTTGGTAACTCAATGAGGAATGGAGAAACTGGATTCTCCCAGATTGTCCTAACTTGCCTGGCCTCACACCTGGGTTAGGAAGGAGCTTGCCTTTCTTCCCTCTCTAATCTGCTGAATCTACCAGGGGCCCTCAGTCGTCCTCAGAATGGCTTTTCTTGGTTTAGCTCAGCCTCATCTTCCTTTTTTTAAGCACTCATCTTTCTTTCCATTATCTTTCATGCCTTTTGTGTGTTCAGAACAGTTCCTCCCATTTTCTGGTCCCGAGAACTCCCAACGGTGGCTGTGTGTGCTGCATCTCCGCCGGTTCCTGTGCAGGGCTGTTCAGCTTTCCCAAGCCGTGCCTGTCTGTCATGGGCCAGAAGAAGGTGTTGGTGGCATTTGCTGTGTTGTGCTTTGCCAGTTGCTTTTCCTCTGCACTCTGTGATGGTCTATACAAAAGTAACAATCACTTAGCATCAGAGCCCGGTTATGGGGCCCAGCTCTGTGCTCAGGCCATGCCCCCTATCAGGTCCCCAACAAGCTGGGTTGAATACAGGACCTAGTTTAAGCCTTCTTTTCTTTCTCCTTTGCCCAAGCTTGAATACAAGTTTGGAATTTTTTCATACCCAGGCAAGTGATGAGGTCCAGGAACCCAAAGCATGCTTGGGCCGAGGTTAGAATGCCTCCTCGCCTCCCTCGCCTGTCTGGAGTTAGCACAGCAGAGGCGGAGTAGCAGGGCAGCCGAAGGAGAAAGAGGGTCACGTCCCCGCAGGCTGTACGGAAATAAGGAGTGCAGTGAAAATGGACTGTGGCCAACTGACTTTTTCACACCAGTGAATTTGTCCCAGTTGGGGGCTTCTGTTCTGACCCGTCTGATTCATTGTACCTGCTGTGGGGCACCTTGAGAAAAGGAGTGGGCAGAGAGGCCAGAGAAATGCTCTTTATGTCCAGGAAGTGTTTTAAGAGCTGATGACTGTGAGTTTAATAATTGATACTTAAATGTATTTATATCATTGCTTCACTTCTTAGTAAAACCATGATTAAATATAGTCGAGTTGAGACTGGAAGTGCCTGCTGTAACCTCTTAATTGTTAAAAATCTGTTTTCTTTCTATAGCATCTATGTCAGGCATAGAATCAGAGAATGTAATAGGTCCCTTTGGGCTGCTCTTCCATTTTACATTGGAAAAACAAATGCCCAGTTTAGTAGGACAACCAGGACTCAAGGCAAGGTTTCTTTCTTTAAAAAAAATTTTTTTTTTTTAAGGCAAGGTTTCTTTACTGTTGGCTTGTTATTTTTTTGCTGCATCATGCTGATTTCCTAGGATACAGAAACATAGAATATCATAGCTAGAGTCTCACATAAGAAAGAACTCTTTGGGTTATATCCAGATTGGCTTTAAGAGTTCGAATAAGGGTGAAATGTCTGCAGTTGTCCTCATTTTTAGGGATTACTGTTCATGTTAGTTTCAGGAACTTTCTGGACATCATTAACACAACGTTAAGAATATTGAGTTCACTTCTATGTACACTTTCCTCAAGCAGTTTCTCCTGGAAATCGTGGAGGCCCCTCCAGCCCTCCCCAAGTATTATTACCTGAAGACTCATGACTGGGTTTTTGGCCCTGCTCTCAGTTTTTCTTTTGTTCAAACTAGTCTTGTTCCAGTTTTTATTTTAGTGTTACCAACTCTCAAATATACCTGTACTTTCCAAGGATAATCATTTAAGTAGTTTATGTATATCATCCATATAGCTTTCAATCAACTTGCTCATTTAACTGTCACCTCTTTCTAGAGATTTTAAATGTAGCAGAATAATTTGAGGCCAAAGCTACCCCACCTAGCATTGGGAACAAAGGGTATTTGTAGTCAGTTCTCCTATAATGCTTTCTTTGTGTTATTCCCATTTAAGTAAGATCTGAAGTGAAATATTTTCTTTGTGTTCTTACTGTAAAATTGGATGAAAATGAAAACCAGAAAACAAACTGGTATGTTTTATTATTCCTGTTTTTTGGTAATTATTCTGTAGTTAGATTATGGAACTGCTGTTAATGTGGGGACAGTAGTTTACTTAGCATCTGGCTGATTACTAAACTGGCAGTGTTCTGACCTTTGAATTCAGTATTTCATGTTGCAGGCTTTGGTCTATTTGAATTTAAGTATGAATATATGCCATGTTTACTCACATTTCTCACCTTTTCCCTTGTCTCTTTCTCGGGCTGTTTTTCTTTCTAAAATATGAATTGAAACACATACACTTACTTTCTTTGTTACTCTGATATTTCCTCATGATGGAAAGAGGATGCTGAGCTCCACCTTATTGACTCCCTAACAGGCCCATCTCGGGCCCCTCGTCCTTCCCCATGGCCTGTGTATATTTATAGCTATATATCTACATATCAGCAGTTGCTTTCAGTGCCAGCATTGGGCTGAAAGGGCTCAAGAAGGGTAATTGTAAAGTGTGGGATATGATAACTTTTCAGCTTTATTTTCCTATAGTTTTTTAGTACCACCTGACTTTACTGAAAAGTAATAACTGCCTTAAAAAGTAACAGTTGTCTGAGCAAATGAGGGTGTCCCAGAGTAGAAATTAGCTATTACCTGAGTATCAAAAACATAAGCAAAATATCTGATGACATAAGTAAAATATCAAGAGGCACAGAAGACCATTTCAGTACCTTTTATTGTGCTTCTATCTGAAAGGCAGGTGCCAGCAAATTAAACTGCTTCCTTCTCTAGTCAGGAGTCTCAACTTGTACAGTGGAGTTAGGATTTTTAGATATATTTTGATTCTTTGGTTAAAAAGAAAAGAAGGGGAAAGGGAAAATCAGGTTCCTTTAAACCACAAAAAAATCCTTGCACGCCCCCACAGTGTTCAAGTGTATCCTCTAAATCCAAAAAATGTGCACCTTTGTTCTGAATTCAGAGCATCTCAGAAAAACTAGTGGAATACGCCCTTGTGCTGTGAAAACATTTGACTACTATCTTGAGGCGCAGGAATGACATGCTTACTATAAAACAGATTCAGTTAGGTAAGTTGAGTACAACTAAGTAAACCGTGTCAAGGGTGTAAAATTATTGGTACTGTGAAAATATTAAGGAGTCTATAAACAGAAGAGCATACTTTTTCTCACATGGAGTGGAGGCAAGGTGTGGAAGCTGGTAAACAGATGTGGGAGTAGATGCAGTGTACGTATAAAAATATGCATGCATCTGTGTAAACAAGGTAAGGCCCCTGTGTGTTCAGCATGACTCTCAAATGACCATGTTCTCCCATTTCAGCAATTGCAGAATATGAAAGCATTTTGATTTGAGGCTGTAGTCCTTATTGGCTCCCCTTTCTCCTTATGCTTCCGTATCTAATGTGGGTGAAGAACCTTGGCTGGTGCAATGGACGAGTGCTGATTCTTGTGGTTGGGAACTGGGGAGACATGATGATGAACTTAAGTAACAACGCATTGTGCATTTCATGTGTATTGTGGAGATTAACCATTTGTTGTTACATCTTGAAAGATAATGTGAAAAGTTTTTTTTTAAGCTTTTAAGGGAACACTTTATATTCTTAAATTTTCTTTTTATTTTGTACTGTTATAAAACTAGTATTGTACAGCACAATACTTTAGATAACAGAAGCTGCTGCGGGAGAGGGTACAGATTTCTTTCTAATCCTAGCATGACATGGTCATCTTTGGCATTTAAGTTTATTTGCTTAGTTTTCAGTCTTGTGTATTTTTCTTGTTGTTGTTCATTCCTTATAACCCCCATCCATTCCTTCATCGCTGCTCCATCAAAAGCCTTAAAATTATTAGAATCTGGTTCAAACCCTGATTTTTGCACTTAATAGCTGGTGGGGCTTTGGACAAGTTTCTTTACTAAGCCTCATTTCTGCATCTGTAAAATGGAGATACTGTGTACTTCATAGGTTATTGTGAGAAATAAATGGGAGAGGTACTTAAATTTATTTATGTATTTAAAGTACCTAATTTATCACTTGGTTCATTGGTGAAATGGGATCAATCTATATTTATATTTTATATATACATATGCATATAATATGTATGTGTGTATATAAATGCATAATGTGTATTGTGGATATATGTATAGATATATAATTTCTTTTACTTCTTTTAGTATCAGAATATGAACTTTATTTCCAAGTAAGTGCAAGACATTCTAAGATGCCTGCAGAAATGCAGACATCATTAATTCACAGCCTGGGATTAAGCACTGTGTGACATTAGAGAGAAGACTATTTTAGTTCAAAGAAACAAATGATTGCTGGTGATAATGTAGATGTTAACAGGATCTTGTGATGATGAATCTGTTGTTTCCTTGTGGCTTGTTTTAACCTTTGAAATATGTGTTATTAGAAAAGGAATGCTATTTTTAAATGACACTAACCTCATCAAAGCTACCTGTAATGTTCTTATTTTGTGATTATAATAAACATTATATGGGATAAAATTTGTATTTTAGACCTTTCAGGAGAAAACCAAGAAAGAATTTTCAAGTGAGTTTCTTATTTTTCTTGGTCTCAGTCACCCTGAAGTTTAAACTTTACATTTTGGGCTTATTCAGAAGCGTAGAAGCTTTTAAAATTTGTAACTCTGTTGTCAATATTCAAGAGTGTTTAAAATCTTAGCACAAATCTGTATTTTGAAGCTTTTTCTGACTTTGATACAAATTGTGTATTTTAGAGATAGTAGGTACTTGTTTTTGCATGAGTGTCTGAAAGTATTGAAGCATTTTATCTGATGCTATTTTAGGGTTATTTTTAGAATGGAAGTAAGTTCTCAGTTTATATTAACTTTTTTTGGTTTTGTGTTTTAAAATTATACCATGTTTGGTGTTAACATCTAAGGGGATGAAAATAATATATTTTAGTCTTTTTTTTCCTAAGTAATGCTATATAGTCTTTTCCAAAGAGATTTCAGTCTTTATTTTATTTTGTATGTATCTGATCTCTGTAAAATTTCAACTAAATGCCTACATTTATGTTTCAGAGCTGGAGTTCATTGGTCTGAATTATAAATTATATTATGGCCAGTTTGACCATTTAAAAGCCAAATTTAAGTGCAGGAAGGAAAGTAATTGCTGTGGCCGTTCTTTTTGCAGTCTGTGCTGCAGAATTCAAATAACTAAAATGACTAGGGGAGAAACAAAGAAACTGAATTAGCCTCTGGTTAATTTTTATTTTTTTAAAAGAAATTTTATGAATCATGGGAGCTGTGATTACCCACAAGATACATATGCCTGTAAACTTGTTAATATACATTAAAGTTGATTTGCTAACATAATTTGCAAGAATGCCTCTTTCTTGCATTAAACAAAATGCAAAAGTTACTAAATTGGAACTGTTTAAGGCTGGCATTCTCTTTAGCTCATACTTTCGGATGAGCCTGACTGCTCAATATAGATAAATTTTATTTTTTACAGGGTAAAGAATTTTTCCATTGAACATACAATTTTCAAGTTTGTTCTTCTGTTGGGCATAGAATCAATTATAGTAGGATTTGAAATGAGAGAGGTATAATTGCTGTGAGGTTTAACCAAGGTTCTTTGCATATTAGAAAATGCTTAGCAGGACCAACCCTGTTTCCCCCTTTGGTTTATTTAGAAGACTTGCACTGTCTGCCAGATGCTGCTTCCTAACCAGTGCAGTTATGCATCACATCAGAGAATCCATCAGCACAAATCTCCCTATACCTGTCCCGAGTGTGGGGCCATCTGCAGGTCGGTGCACTTCCAGACCCACGTCACCAAGAACTGTCTGCACTACACGCGGAGAGTTGGTTTTCGGTCAGTATATTGTTCACTAATAACTACACTGTGGTTGGAGTGATCTACGCACATAGCTCTTAGGGTCATGCAGTAATACCTCAATTAACAGTTCTCTGGAAGCCTAGCTCATTTGTACTAGAGTTGACCTGTTTGAATTCTTTCAAGGAAGTGTTGGCCCTGCTGTCCACACAGAGCTGAGGACAGGTGGGCCAATCCTTTTAGTTAATAGTGTGCATGTGTGGAGGCTCGGCTTTGATCAACTGTCATAACGTTTTCTGTCTGGATCCTTTTTAGTACACTTTTTTTTTCAGGTGTGGGGGACTACTGGAGATTGAACCCAGGGCCTTTGCACTGAGCTACATCCCCAGATCTTTTTATTCTTTTTTAATTTTGAGACAAGGTCTTGCCAAGTTTTCTAGGCTGGACTTGAACTTGGATTCTTTTTGCCTCATCTTCCCAAAGTGCTGGGATTACAGGTGTGTGCCATTACACCAAGTTTAGTACACTTTTGTTGTCACACTCCCTAAATTTTAACCCGTGGAAGAATACCATGTATTTCTGTATCTCTTTTTTTTTTTTCTCGGTACTGGGGATCGAACTCCGGTCCTTGTGCTTTTGAGGCAAGCGGCGGAACCACTGAGCTAAATCCCTGGCCCATTTCTGTATCTCTTAATGCCTTCCTTCTGCTAATGAAAACAAATGGTGAGATGGTTGCTTACTTTATCCATACTGAAGAACCTGATATAAACCATTTTCTAACATTGCTTTTTATAGAAGAATCTTCTACTCCAAATAACGTTTCCTTCCTGCTCCTCTGTGTCCTCCTCCTCCTTTCCTGGAGTCTAGGTTTCTCTACTGTCTCCTGCACAGATTAACTGTGGCCCCTTTCATTGCTCTCAAAGATTCCCAGACATGTGTTTTACCATATCTGGCAAATTTAATGTTAGTTCAGTATTGAGCGATGAACTTTATTCTCTACTTTATGACCTTCTGAAGTTCATTCCTGTGCCATATATATTTTGACTCCATGAAAATCTCCCAAGATAACGTCATATATAGCACAGTGTCTTTGTTAATGGAGGTATTTCTGTATTGTATGTTTATCTTAGTGTTGTTTGCTCAACCAGTAACTTTAATATTAGACTGTTAAATGTGCAATAATATTTTTTTAGTTATAATCTGGTTATATTTTATAAAAATGAAGTCCAGTTGGTATGATTCGATGGTTTTGTAGTCTTATTTTATTTAAATTTAGATTATATCACTGAGTGGCTTTGCCGATTTTTCTAATACTAAATTATGAAACTGACCTCTCTTTTTTATCTCATGCCTCCAAACCTGTAGTGCGTGCTTTATGGACTAGATCTAGCCTGGTAGGAAACCTTTGGTTTAGAAATCAAGAAATCAGAGTTTCATGTACAGTACCTGTTTTGCCTGTAACTGATTGTGTGGAAATTCATTCATTCTCTCTGTGCTGTGGTGCCCTGTCTATAAACTTGGTGGGCTGATTGCGGCCAGCACCACTAGGATGTTACAAACAGGATAATCAGATGCCTTAGAGCTTCAAGTCCATGCTGGATAATATTTTGTTTCTTATCACATGTTTTGAAACTGTTATTGGTACATTCCATGCATAATGATAGAAGGCAGCTCTGCGACATACTGCTTTTTTCATTAATGCCAAACTTTCCTCAAGCATTTACTTTATTCTTCTAATATGAAAACAAACCAAGGCTGTAGTGAAGCTTTCATGGTGTCTTTGCTGAGACAGATACTCTGCATGCACCCTAAAGTAATCACCTCACTTGGAAAAGACCATCTGTGATTCCCTTTTTGATCCGTCCACAGTTTCTTAAATGTGGTGCTTTACAGATTCAAATTTTTAAGTTTTATATTAAGTGTAGAGTTGCCTTTGCCCAACTGGAGGCTATACAAACTAAAAGTGCTATTATGTATTAATACTGTTAAGCCTGTTATGAAGTTTAGTTTATGTTTATATCTCCTCGAAAAGAGAGAGAAACATTTTTAAGCTTAATTGTTTTCCCTGCTGTTTAAATAATGGTCCAGTCTGATACTTCACTGGGGCTTGACAGCCTGTAGACCTTGTTGTGTTTGTCTCTCTCTTTGGCTGCATAGCTAATTATCTTCAATTTGTTTTTTCTGTAGCCAAAGAAGTCTGTCACATGGTTCCCACATCTTCCTTTGTCTATTTCTGATGCAAGCGTCTTAGTCTCTTTCTTGCTCATACTGCATTTCTCAGATACTAAGGGGTCCTTTGGCTTCTGGTTAACTTGGTAAAGTCAAATATTGATGAAAGTCAAGTCTTTTTCTGAATTTTCTTGCCTTCTGATACATTGGGTCTGCATCTTACAGGATTGTGTACTGTAAAAAAAAGTTAAAACTATATTCAGAAAATAATGAAGCTGGGCATGGTGGCACATGCCTGTAATCTCAGCACTTGGAAGGCTGAGACAGGAGGATCGCCGTAGCCTGGGCTACATAGCGAGTTCAAGGCCAGCCTGAACTACATAGTGAGACTCTGTTTAAAAAAAAAAAAAAAAAAGAAACAAAAGAAAATCAAGGGACTGAATTGTAGCCAGGACACAAAGGAAAACTTTTTCAGGCCGGGATGGGTGGTGCACATGTATAATCACAGCTACTCAGGAGGCTGAGGCAGGAGGCACAAGTTCAAGGCCAGCCTGGGCAACTAGATGAGAGCCTGTCTTAAAATAAATAGGGCTGAGATGTAGCTGAGTGATAGAGCACTTGCATAGCATTTAAGAGGTCCTGGGTTCAATCCTCAGCACACCCCCACCTGCTCTCCCAAAAAAGGAGGGTATGCTTTTGGCCTCCATAGTGGTTTTGGACTGAGTTAATACCACTTCCTTCTGCCATAAAAAATGCCACTTGTAGTTTAAATACTTTAACTTCCTTTGTACTTTCTGTTAATTAAACCATCTTGTCTCTGAAAATGACTTCAGGGAATTGGTGCATTTCACTTTCTTCCTTTTCGTCCTTCCCTGGTCTTTTGAGCATCACTTTCTTGTTCTTGATGGGAAGATCTTTGTGATTTGTGGCATGGTGGATCCTTAGTTTTCTTACTAACCTCTCCACTCCTGTTTTGCCCAGTCTCCCCTTTCCTTGGAGTCATGAGCTTCTAGGGTTGAGAAGGACTAAAAACAATCTTTTTCAGCTCTTCTCATTTTGTAAGAACTGGTCCATAAAGGAACATTAACCTATCCAAGACAAGTTAACTCAGAAGAGTTCCAGTATCTTGGGTGGCTCCTGCATTGCCTGAAATAACAATTCTAGTAGATAGTATAGTGAAGCTTTCCTTCTGTTTTCCTGTTGTCAGTGTCTTTGTGTTGCTGAACACTATGCCTTAAGACATTCAGAATACTAATGCATTAATTATATTTTTAAAAAATTGCATCCAAAGCCTAATTAGGCATGCTTTATATAATGCATATGGTACAGAACATGCCACACCTGTCTGGCTTTGCAAGTACAGTATCTCCATGATTTGGAAGGGAGCCTTTAAGCACGGAAGTGTTCTAGGCTACCATGGAAGTCAGTGGGCACTGCTTCATGGACAGAAGGGCCTGTCTGCGGTCTTCCCAGGTAATTCACGCACATGTCCAGGAACACACATGTTCAGATACATCCAAGTAAATCTCTGGAGATTTCCAAGTCTGCAGAGAGACACTGTAGCATAGGTTTCAGAACAAAGATGACTCTGTCCTCCAGTGGAAGTGATATAAGTGCCACTGAGTCATGTATATGAAATGAGGAGGTAGAGGAGAAATGAATCCTTAGTTTTAAAGTTTGTTTCTGTGGGTTAGATTGGAATAAAGAGTGACCTAATTGTCAAATTATTTGAAATTCAAAAAGTAAGGAAGTTATCTAGAGGCAATTTTTTTAGAGGTATAATTTTTTCGGAAGCTTGTAGTTCATGTACTTTCTTGAGCATATCCAAGTGTATTCATATTTATTTTCTAGGAGACAAAAAACCTAGGGGGTTGACCTTCTCCACCCTGTGGTCACCATACATTAGGTACATCAGATGCATTGACCACACATTGTGCACCAAGAGACAGTGGGTATTGCTTGGGAGCTGGTGCTCTTTTGCATTTCTCTGCCTCTCTGTGAGAGGATATAGGTTCTGCCTGCTGCAAGGGCTTCTTCCATTGGAAATGCCATTTGCAAACTGGGATGGGTCGGAGCTTCAGGTCCTGGTATCAGAATACAGCATGTGGAAGTCCTTCCCAGAGCCAGGAGTTGTGAGGGCTTGTTAATGTTCTTTGGGCTGATTTGGCTCCCACGACCCATCAGTCTCCAGGCCTAAAGATGCTCAAAAAATTGACCTTTTGAGTTTCACTTTTCTTCTTCATGACCTTCCCTCATAGACATATAAAAATAATTTTAATCTGTTGTAAATAGAAAAAAACAAAAAACTTTCAAAAAGCCATTAGAAACCTAAATTGGCTATAAAATATGTTCATCTTACCGAGGTCTTACACAGAGAAGACATACGTGTTTAGAGGACTATGCTAATGACTGTGTTATTTTTCTAACAGATGTGTACATTGCAATGTTGTGTACTCTGATGTGGCTGCACTGAAATCTCACATTCAAGGCTCTCACTGTGAAGTCTTCTACAAGTGCTCTATCTGTCCAATGGCATTTAAGTCTGCCCCGAGTACACATTCCCACGCCTACACTCAGCATCCTGGCGTCAAGATAGGAGAACCAAAGTAAGTCATACCAACTTCCAATTTGTACTCCTCTACTTTATTAGTAATTTAGAGGAGGTAGTCCTTCCTTTGAATAAAATTTAAGATACAAAAATTATGTAGCTATTCCAATTTTGATGCTCTATGAAGTACAGCTCATAGCTCATGCAAACCTTTCAATTCTTTCCAGGTAAAGCCTTTGTCCTCAAATGTCACCTATTATTTATGCTATCAGTTTTTGCTAAAGTCAATATTTATATATTGTATTATTTAGATGATTTTCACAAGTAAGCTTTAGGAAAATTATTTTTTAAAAAACTGTCCTTTGAAAATTTTTTCATAGTTTCTTCCTAATAGGATACACTTTTCCCAGTAGTATTTACAAGACAAAGTCAGCTTAAATTACTGGTTAATGAGTTTCACATCATCACCAGTATTAAGTCCTTCATTAGTAGGTATAAACTTGTTTTTGCCTTAATTTTAGTCTTCATTTTACTGATTTTGCTTTGTAGAGTCTTTAAAAATGAATTGGCTCTTCGGCAGACAGGGGATGCCTTCCTGCAGGAGGGGAGGGTTATAGAGAGGAGGGAACCATGAGCACAGGGGCTGGTCAAAATCCTACCACCTGCAAGCTGTGTACCTGGGTCTGTTATTTACCAGCCTTAGCTTCTGTTTTCTCTGCTATAAACTGAGAGTAATGCTTGCATCCTGTGGTTTATGAGAGGCTAAATGAGATGACATATTTAAAATGTGTACTGCACTGTCCCTCCGTTGGGAATGTGGAAACATTAGTTCCTTCCTGCATTTCTTCACTCCTTGTTTATATAGCTCTGGATTAGAGGCTTCTGGTTGTATTCATCTTATTTAGGGTTTCACTATGGAAGTGTAGTTTGATAATTATGTGAGGCTAGATTTCATGTCCAAATCTGTTGGTGTATTTTTGTCTGTAACTACATTATGAAGGAGTTATAGGAATATAAGCAGATATGTGTTATAATATCTGTATATCTCTCCCTAGATACATAGCTTTTATTATAACATTTAGTTATGAGGAAATGTGATTGAATCCTTATAAATAGAAGTGATTATATACTTTTAAAATGCTAAATTCTAATTTTATTCTAATAGGACCTTCACTTTGATCTTTTGTATTTTGACATGCAAAATGAAACACATTAGAAATTAGGGATGTGTGAACAACTTGGTGCCTTGGCTTTGAAGACAGGGATTAGTGAATGTTAGTATCTATCAATGTTCATGATAACAACACTGGATATGAACTGGATATGAATGCAGCTTTTACCTCCCAGTGAATATAATTATTTGGTTCCATATTCAAAAAATTAAACTTCGGTGCTGAAATGTATATGAAATCTGAAATAGTAGTTGTAACTTGGGAATTTAGGACAGCAGATGATTAAGCTAAAACAATATTCCTCAAATTTGAGTACAATAATCCCTCTCTTAACTACTGTTTTACTTTCTTTTTTTTTTTTTTGTACCGGGGATCGAACTCAGGTCCTTGTGCTTGTGAGGCAGGCGGCGGAACCACTGAGCTAAATCCCCAGCCCATGTTTTACTTTCTGTGGTTTCAGTTACTCATGGTCTGAAAATATTAAATGGAAAATTCCAAAAATAAACAAACTTTTTTTTTTTTTTTGGTACCGGGGATCAGGACCTTGAGCTTGCAAGGCAGGTGCAGCGCCACTGACAACCGGCCCTGCAAACTCTTAAATTTTAAATTGTGTACCATTCTGGGCAGTGTAACAGAATCTCTTGCCATCCTGCTCCATCAAGACCTGAATTATCTGTTTGTCCAGTGTATCCTTGCTGTATATATTACCTGCCTGTTAACAACACAGAGCCCAACATGATGATTGGATTGACTTTTGCAGTGTGGCAGTGCTTGTGTTCAAGTAATCTTTATTTTACTTAACAGTGATCCTTAAGCACAATAGTAGTAATGCTGGTGATTCAGATAATGCCAAAGAGAATTTTAAAGTGCTTCCTTTACGTAAAGAGGTTAAAGTTCTTTATATTTAATAAGGAAAGAAAAAATATTGTATATGTTGAGGTGCTAAGATCTGTGATAAGAAAAATACCTATTCATGAAATCATGAAGAAGTAAGAAGAAATTAGTATTAGTTTTGCAGTCACATTTCCAACAGCAAAAGTTATAGTCATAGTGCATGATAAGTGCTAAGATGAAAATGGCATTAAGTTATACTGTTTGGTGCTAGGATAGCCTCAGGCATCCACTGGGGTTCTTGGCTCATATACCCTACCCCATGGATAAAGGAGGACTGCTGTATTTTATAGGAAAAAGGTTGTTTCAGTATTTAAAAAAAATTTTTTTAAATTACCATGGTTCTTTAACAAGTGCAAGCCTAAAATTACATATAAACTACTGTATTGTAAGCTATAAAACTAAAGAGTTTACAGAGGAAAACCGATGAAGTTTAAGCTGCCAGCATTAGTCTGATATATGGTTGGTCTTTGGCAGTATCCAGTTCTCGCTGACACCACTGCTGCAGCAAAGGACACTGCTGCCTTGCCCATGCGGGCTTGGCAGGCCTCTACGTTGCGAGCCCAAGTCAGTACTTCCCTTGTCACCACTTTCAACTCACCATACTGTAAAACTCATTGTGGGGCTGTTGGGTCTACATTTGACCCAAAAGCAGTTAAGTCCAAAGCATTTTGGCAGTAAGTCCAAAATAAGTAAGTGGTCCTCACTCCAAAGGAAACGGGCACTGAAATCTCCAGGAGTATTTGGTTAACAGGCGTTTATGCAAACGATCCAAAATTACACAAGTGATTTGCATTAATTTTTAACAATCAGTATTAAAATAATCCTCCGCCCATTGTCTTTAGTGAACATATGGATGTTTGAAAATACACCATAGAGTTCTGCAGCCCCAGCACCTCAATTTGAAAAGCACAATGTAAGATTGATTATTTATTTACTCACTTATTCATTCATTTATTTATTTATTGTGTGTGCGTGTGTGTGTGCATGTGTGCTGCTGAGGATCGAACACAGGGCCTGGCACCTGTAGGTAAACACTCTACCCTTATACTTTATCCCTGGCCCACAATGCAAGATTTTAAGTTAACATGAATTTATATAGTATTTACTGTATACCAAGCATTGTTGTAAGCACTTTGTTTCTTTTTTGTTTTTGTAGTCTTGGGGATTAAACACAGGATCTCAGTCGTGCTAGACAAATGCTCCACGACTGACCTACATCCCCAGCCCAATACTTTTTGTCAGTACTGGGGAAACTGAGGTAGGAAGATCATGAATTCAATCAAGGCCAGGCTGAACTATATAATGGGACTCTGTCTCTGAAGAAAAACAAAAACATGGAACATTCTGTAGTATTTTCTGGGTAATTTAAATCATTCTGAATATCTACTACTGCACTTTTATGGGAATAAAATTTTGTCTTTATATTTTTTCATCAGTATTTGATTAACAGTAGTTTATTTTGCTGCGCCTTTTATTTGCTAAATGTGTGAGTGGAGAAATGAGAACTCCAAAGTTAAGAATTGTATAGGAGACACAGAGTTGTTAAACAAGTTCCTAAAAAATAGAACATGAAAAACTAGAATGTCTGCATGGTGGAGGACTCGGGGGAGGAGGTCTCAGAAAAAGCTGAATTTGAACCATGGCCCTGGGATTTATTTAGCATCAAGCAAATGATTTAATAACTCTAAGTCTTAATGTGCCATCTGTGAACTGGTTAGCAGTATAAATGCACCTAACAGGGTGTGAGGGTTAGTTGTGTGATGTGGAGGACATTACTTTGCACCTCGTTGGATTCAATCAGTAGTAAAGTAGGAAGTTTATGGCAGCAGTTTGGAGGGGTAGAATCTCTTATTTGTTTTTACCTCCAGCTCAGGTGTAGCGCTGTGTTCTGGAGAGTTGTGGCTGCTATGAGTTTGACCTTAAGGAGTGTGTTTGGTTCTAGCTTTCTCTTCTCTTCTCTCTTTCCTTCCATACTTCCCTTTGTCCTCTCCTCTCTCTCCCTTTCCCTCTCCCTTTGCTTTCTCTTTCTGTCCTCCTGCTTGTCCTCTTCCCCCTTTGTTACAATAGAGTTGCTTGTACTCATTGTAGAATTAGGTTTTGGGGTTTGCTTTTTGAGCCCTGCACAACTGGGCAGCACCTCCTCGCCTTGCCCCACCCCAGGAACTCAGTCAGCCTCACTGGGGTTCGGGCTGTGCCCTCCTCCTGCTGTGCCTGTGCAGAGCTCAGCCCTGACAGTAGGGGCCCCTCCCCCGTCAGGAGCGCCTCACCTTCTCTCCGCCCCCCACACTGTCTCCCTGGGGCTTTTCCATTGTTGTCAGAGACTTTGCTCCATCTTCATCTGTCCCTTAACCACGCCTGTGTCTTTGTGGTACCTTCATTTTGCTCTTTGTATTTTTAAACATTAGCGGCAATTTTTAATAGTTCCTGCCCTACAAAAAAGTTGGAATAATGTACCAAGAACTCTTGCACCTCCTTTACCAGATTCTGTAGTTGTTGGCACTTTCAGTGTTAGGTCCAGCTCGCTGTTCTTATATCCTACTGTGACCTATATACTTCCATGAGTTCTGCTCCTCCCCTCAAAAAGGGCATGCATGTAAATCATCACCACATAGTCCCTAGTTAGGAAGGTGGTGTTAGTCACAACACCATCCATTTTGTAGACTGCATTCACACTTCTTCAGCTGTTGAGATTGTCTCTAAGATTCTAATCTGGGTGTGCTCTTCAGATATAATTGCTCCATCTCAACTCTGGTCCCTCCACCCCTGTCATGTCTTGGCTGTTTAAAAGAGGATACAGGCCTTTCATTCTAAGAATGACTTTCCATCCGTCCATGGCAGTTTTCTCACAGGACATACACTCTTGGCAAGAATTGCCTCAGAAATGATGCTGAACTCTTTCCCATGGGGTCCCACTGGGGGCTTAGGCAGCATTCCCCCATCCTGCTCATTATTGGTGGTGTCACCTTCATCACCAAGCCAGGTTGGTGTCTGCCATGTTATTCCACTGTAATGTCATAGGGGAAATGTCCCGCTTTATATTTTTTAGTGTTTTGTGGAAAGGTATTCCATCCAAGTACTAACTAGGCCCGACCCTGCTTAGCTTCCGAGATCAGATGAGATCAAGCACAATCAGGATGGTATGGCCATAGTGTGGAACGATACTCCAGTAACATAGCAGCAACCTAATTCTCAGGTTCCTCGGGAAGATGCTAAGTACATACATTATCTCTAGTTTTGTACTTTCTTGGTTAGCAGATATAAGATAACACCTCAAGAGAGACAAAACCCCTCCCTAGAGGAATGTAGCATGAAAGAAATGAGAGCCGTGCCATTTTTTCACAAAATAGTTACTTCTGGGCCGAGGATTTAGCTCAGTGGTTTTGCCGCCTGCTGCACAAGCGTGAGGACCCGAATTCCATCCCCGGTACCAAAAAAAAAAGCTACTTCTGAAAATGGAAGACTGAAAAAAAAAAGAAAATGGAAGGCTGGAATCTTGAGAAAAATTTCATCCCAACTAGTAAATCTCAATGCTTTTGTTAAAGTTGTTTTGTAATGGTTATATTCTAATTATTGGGGAGGGAAAAAGCCCCAAGAAGTGCAGACAAGCAAATCAATAAAAAGAATGTATATATCATCATCCAGCTGAGATAACAATTATATGCCTTCTAGTTCTCTCCTATACCTTTAAAAATATGATTATATAGTAATACTGTCTTATTAATCTTTTATTTTTTGTGAAAATCTCGATATCATTGGTATGTGTCTGGAACAACATTTTAATAAAACATTACATGGTTGCTCTGTTTAACCTTTTATGTTATTGGATGTTGGGGCTGTTCACAACCCTAATAATTTGCGATGGTGGGGACCGAACATCCTTGTCACACCTGTTATGCTCCTTGAGCTGCACCATGGACTACCAACATTGGGCTGTGTGGTAAAGTTCCACAAGACCTTGTCTGATCTTTGCAGCATCCACAATCAGGGGTGAAAACTAATGTGTCAAGACCTTGGAAAAATATGTGCTACTCCGATTAAGTTTATAAATGTTATGTGGAAAAAGCAAAAAAAAAAAAAAAGTTAAATCTGTAATTTTTTTTTATTTTGGTACTGGGGATCGAACTCAAGACCTTGCGCTTACAAGGCAGACGTGGTACCACTGAGCTAAATCCCCAGCCCTAAATCTGTAATTTTTTGACAGCATTGCACAGTGAAGTTTGAAGCTGAGTGAGAAGTATTGTCTTAAGAAGAGCCTGAGAGGAAAGACAAGTGGTGTTATAGGGCATTTCTTTCTCTGACTTTGCTGTAGGAATATCAAGTGAAACTGCAACTTTTCCTTTTTCTTCTATGGCCTTCACCTTCCACCTGTTTTTCTCTGACCTTTCCCTAAGCTGTCCCCTAGATTCTTTGAGCCTGTTCCCATGGTTGTTCACAGGCCATACTAACCCCATAGCGCCTTCCCTCAGGCCTGGATGACCAGCAGCATTTACTGAGAAAGGGTGATCTGCTGTGGTCAGAGCTGTTCACAGTGACAAGTCAGATCCGTCAGAGGCGAAGGGTGGCAGAGAGAGTTGTGCAGTTCACCTCTGCCAGACTCAAGCCTCAGTGGCGGGTGTAGGCGAGTAGAAGGGATTACGTTCAGAAGATTCAGGTCTGCTGAATTAATGTAAGGGGCTGTTTGGCGTGACATTAGGTGTGGAAATAGTTGTAGTGGACAAATGAGTAATTTAAATCATTGAAAGCATAAGAAGCAATGAATTTTCTTGTAGTACGGGCTATGTTTTCTTTCCTTATCTCAGTGTATAACTTTACTGGCATAGAGCTTCCTTTTTAAAGAACTGGGATAGAAATGTTGATATTCATGTATAAAATTGCTGTTAACTTTAATGTAAAACTTGTAACAAATAACTTATTCAGGCATTTGTGCTGAATGGGCCTTCAGAGCTCTTTAATCAAATTCTTTTTCAGGTTAGGGTCCCCTTTTGAGCTGGATAGCCCTGTCTGATCTTAAGCTTCCCTCTTCAGAGGACCCTTTTGCTTTGGGTTAAAGTAACATGTGAAGATTTTGACAAATACATGCCAGTTACAGATTTGTTAGTAGTAAAATGGTCATTAATTTAGACTTTAAACAGATGGAGCCGAATATATCTTTATTTAGAATGTTAAGATTGATCTGTGATTGAGTGATGCCAGTTGTCTTGAAAAGTTTGTTTCACAGCTAAAATGTTGTTCTTTTAATTGTGTTTGTGTGTTTTCAACGTGCTTCTACCTCCTGAGTTCTTCAGATGCCAAGTGGCACTTCTTTGACTTGAGACATGAGGCTGACTGACGTTATTTCGCTGCACTTCTTCTGTTTTAGAATAATCTATAAGTGTTCCATGTGCGACACTGTGTTCACCCTGCAAACCTTGCTGTACCGCCACTTTGACCAGCACATTGAAAACCAGAAGGTGTCTGTTTTCAAGTGTCCAGACTGTTCTCTTTTATATGCACAGAAGCAACTTATGATGGACCATATCAAGGTGTGTGTGCATCTCTCCTCTCCTCTTAAGTGAATTGCAGATAACATGCATTGGCATCAGCCAGGCCTGAGCTGCAGATTGCTGTATAGTGTGGCACACTGTCCAGGGAAGGGATGGATGCTAGTTGTTGTCGGTGAGAAAAACATTTGGTCAGCATGTGTTCACTTGACTGTGGGATGCGTGCATGTCCGGATTAAAAATAAATAAAATAAAATATTAGGAGTTTATAAACATATATATATATATAAAATAAAAGTAATAAAATATTAGGAGTTTATAAACATATATATATATATAAAATAAAAGTAATAAAATATTAGGAGTTTATAAACATAAATGTATAAGTGAAAATGATGACTGAAGTTTACTTTTGAGAACTCCATGTTGTATGGGATTTTGATATGGACAAGAGCTCTGACAATTTATGTTATTTCATATAAATATTGGTGTACTTAGAAAAATGAAAGTTTTTCCCTTGAAATTACCTAAGCAATTAAATTCATGTTATATTTGGTGTGCTTGGATCTTTTAGGATTTTTTTCTCACTATAAAAATTCTGTGTAAGTTGACTACTAAATATTCAGGATATAGCAAGTTCCTGTACCTAGCGGGTGTTCCGTTAATGAATAAATGTCATGTTTGGACTATCTACTCTCCCAGCTCCAAAGGGGCCATGATGATCTATTTTCAGTCTGTTAAGCTTACTCAGACTGGTGCTTAGTTCTAGCTTCTTGACTGTCCACTATGATAGGTTAACATTTTTATTTGTGTGGTTACTAGGTAATATCCATTGGCTTTCAGAGATTAAAATGATTTCCTTTTAAATGGAGAAACAGAAACCAATTATCATCATAAACTCAATCACTTTTTCTTAGTTTTTTGTCTTTTAAACATATATTGTACAAAATGGTCAGTTAAAGAGCAAATAAAGTCAGTTATTCTCATCTTGTGTCTGTTAAATGAATAGACTATTAATTCTTAAAAGCTTCTGTCTTGAACATATTTGAGGTCATAAAGAATACTTGCTACTAGAAAGGAACTTAACATCTTGAAGATTCTGCTCCCGTAGGCAAAGTGAAGATGGTGGTGGTGGCGTTACAAGGGTGGATAAATGCATGGGCGATGTGTTTTGTCATTCTCATTTGAAGTGCAATAAAATCCACGAAGGATATTTTAAGTGTTTTAGCAAAAATTATAAAATTGTTTTTGACAGTAAATTTTAATGAGTGATCAAGAAAATAAAGATATGGGAACTTTGGATTTAGACTAGAATGTTTTAATACACTATTCAGTGGAACCTCGGTTCACGAACCCAATTCTTTCCGTGGTTCTAGTCACAAGCTGAACTGGACAAGAACCAAATCAGATTTCCTCATAAGGTCAACATTGAACCTAACCATTGATTCGATTCTGCTCCAGCTCGGTTTGTGACTAGAATTGTGGAAAGAATCAAGGTCGAGAACTGAGGCACCACTGTATATGGGTCAATGACACCCCCCCACACACACACACAAAGAAAAGAAACATGCCTCGTAAGTGACTTTTAAAGAATTTCTTTCTGGAACTGATCTTCACATCTGGATGTGGAGTTATGGGCTTTGTGGTTGAGGTCTTCTTTGTGTTAATGGTGAGTTTGGAGGAATACAGAATTAAAATTTATGGCAAAGTCCTGTGGCCACAAGGAGGAGAGGGTTGTTTGTATTCATCTGAAACTTTACTAGTCTACATGATATGAAATCAGTGGGAATGTTCACTTCTATTTTCATTTGCTGAATATTATGTGCATCTTAAAATACTATCCTGCATTTATGTGCTTAGGGTGGGTAAAACATATATATAGTTTTAGGAGCACCCTGTTTTTACTTTTAAGATGATATATGTAGTTCTTGCTGTGTGTTTACCATGCCTGGTGCCTCTGAGAAAGGAACAAAGAGGCAGTGGGCTGGTACGTGCTCATTTATGGGTGGACTTTATTTGTCCAACTTAACCCAACTCAGATCATTTCTTTGAAGATTTTTGTTTTGTTTGTTTTTGAGACAGGGTCTTGATATGTAGTTCAGGCTGGCCTTGAACTCAATTGTGTGTAGGTTAGGGAGGCCTTAAGCTTGACGTGATACTCCTGCCCCAACCTCCCAAATGCCGGGATCACAGTCGTGAGCCACTACATCTGCCTCAGTTCATTTCTTTGTTCTACCAAAGTTCAGATTTCTTTCTTTTGTAGGTTCCTTGTATTCCCTGTTGACATTGACATTCACATTTGAAGTAAACTTTTACATATTCAAGTTGTTTATTGTTTTATGTGCTAACAAAAAAATCAATTTTAAAAGAACTAAGTTTTATTTTTTCCCCTCACCCCTCAAGCACTGGGGATTTAGCCTAGGCCCTCTCACTGAGCTACATCCTCAGTCTTTTTTGTTTTTTAATTTTGAAATAGGGTCTCCCAAAGTTTTCTAGGCCGGCCTTGAACTTGCGACCCTTCTGCCTCAGCCTCCCGGACTGCTGGGATTATAGGTGTACACCATCATGCCAGGCTTCTTTGTTCTCTTTTGTGTAGTCCTGTCACTCAAACCCAAGGCCTTGCACATACTAGGCAAGTGCTCCATCACAGACTTACACCCCCAGTCAAGTTGCATTTCCTTTATTAAAAAAAGATTTGGCTTTAATAATGTCTTTTTTGCTTACATTATGTAAATAAAAATTAGTAATTTCGTTTCATGCACACACCCCATTCTCCTCTTCTGTCATGACAGAATCTGTGCTGCTTTTTTATAATTTCTATAGCACTTTAAAATTATTTTACAGAAGAATTCTTTAACATTTTACCCTCTTACCAGCTTTTCAGCTAGTCAAAGTGCATTCACCTAGAAACTTATGATAAAAAAAACCTGAGGTGCATTCAAACACAGAGGCCTTCCACCTATATGGTAAAGAAACAGATGTACAGTTTTTGGCCATCAGGAAACCATTTCTGCCCAGCTTTTCTCTGTGCAAGGAGTACTGTTAGACCTTCCTCTCTGCTCCTATGGTCAGGTTCTCAGTTGTTTATTGGGTAGAGCTGGTAGTCTCTGCTATAGGTTATAGAAGCTTATTTTCCCTTTGGGGAAAGATGCTACTGAAGAAGGCTGGCTAATGCTGGCACTGCTTAGAGGAGACATGCAGGAGTAGGCAGAAGTCGAAGCTGCTTCCTAGAGCACTCAGGAGGAAGTGGGGCTCAGATCTCTGAGTGCCAGCTGGGACAGGGGCCTGGGGAAGGATGGTGTGTGCATCTTCAGTAGGTGCAGGACTGGGGAAGGGAGTGGCTCACTTGCATCCTGATCAGAAAAAAAGGCAAACATAAAATGGATACTGAGGGACAGACTTGCCGCCTTATATTTATTTGGACTCCATGCCTTTAACATGCAAATAAAAGAAAAAACTAAAGTGGGTTAGTCTTCAGAATCAAACTGCAATAATTTTTTCCCACTTGCATTTAAATCCTGTGAGTTTGAGATGGGTGTTGTGACTATCAATGATAATAAATAGCTAAACAATTATAAAAGGCATTGTGTGTACCTAATATGTACAGTTTGCAGGTCGGGTGTTACTAGTAAGAAGGGATGACTGGGATAGGAGTAGAGAGAAGAAAATTACCTCCAAAACCCAGCAGAAGAAACCCACCCGGTTCCACATATTCCCAGGATGTGAAAGGCTTGCCATTGACAATAGTCTCAGATGTCAGTTCAGGTTGGTGAGTTAAGGCTCTCTCACCTACAGTATAGTAACTTACTTAAACATATCTGCAGACAGGAAAGTAAGACCCTCTGAAAATGGTGTCTTACAAGGGACTTGCTCTGAGACCAAGGGGAACACAGAGTACCAGGACTAATTGGATTCAATACAGAGGTTTTAAAATGGCGCAGATACATAAGTTTTTAAAAATTATTAGGAACTAGAAGCCCATAATTTATAGTGATAATAAAAGTTAATGTCCTTTAAAAAATGTCCTCTTTTTAAACTGTAATTTTAGCTTAGGTTTTCTTTATATGTTAGAAAATATTTCTGAATGGATAAATAATCTCTTTAAAATATCTATAAAGCATTAAGATAGTTTACATGTGCTTTCTTTGGTTGTTGTGATTTGTGATAGATACTTTTTTTGTTTTTGTAATGCAGTCTATGCATGGAACATTGAAAAGTATCGAAGGGCCTCCCAACTTGGGCATAAACTTGCCTTTGAGCATTAAGCCTGCAACTCAGAATTCAGCAAACCACAACAAAGAGGACACCAAGTCCATGAATGGGAAAGAGAAATCGGAAAAGAAGTCTCCATCTCCTGTGAAAAAGTCGGCAGAATCCAAGAAGGTGGCCAGTCCCGGGTGGACGTGTTGGGAGTGTGACCGCCTGTTCACACAGAGAGATGTGTACATCTCCCACATGCGGAAGGAACATGGGAAGGTCAGTGGAGGTGACTGTCTGGGCCAAGAGGGGTGCAAATACCACATTGGCTCCACACCAGGGTCAACCCTGTGGGTAATGAGTAGTGAAGCCTCAAATCATTCCATGTTTCTGTGTCTCAGTTTATCTGTAAAATGGACATTCCCAACCTTTCCCAATCTTGTTCTATGATTTTGCTGACTACTTTCATTTGTTTACCCCAAGTCTAGGAGTAAGTTGGTAAGATGTCTGTGTTGATAGCCAAAGAATGTAAACAGGGGCAAAACAAAGTTACACATGTCTGAATGTACTTCTTAGTCCTGTGACCAAAAAGGAAGAAGGGAGGAGAGAAAGGCAGTGGGTGTGCTGAGAGCTGTAGTAGCATTTGTATGACTTAATGTGATTCTTCCTTGAGTTTGTAGTGGGAAGATGAACCTCATCTTTGAACTTCAGAAGTTCTACACTTCAAAACCCTGAAAAATTATAGAGTCACAATATGCCTGTTCTTTCTCTTTAGACCTAATATAATGAGCAAAATTATTTTTTAATATGATTTAATAGTATATCTAGATACAATATTAGGCAGCATTCATATTTTCTTATTGTTTGGTCAAGATCCAAAAAGTCTTCATGTTGTATAATTTAAATCTCTTTATTCTACAGCAGTCCTCCTTTCTAAATTTTTAATATACTATTGATTTTTTTGAAAAATTGAGTTGTTTGTCCTGTAGAGTATCCCTCATATTGTTGGATTTGGATAATTGCTTCTTTTTAATATTATTTAACTTGCTCTTCTGTATCTTTTTTGGGGGGGTTATGGGAATCAAACTCGGGACCTTGCACTTGCGAGGCAGGTGCTGGAACCACTGAGCTAAATCTCCAGCCCTCTTCTGTATCTTATAATTACTAGAACTTTGATTAGATTCAGATTGAAGCTTTTAGATCTGTCATAGGTACTGCATTCTTTTTGTATGATGTCAGGAGGAACATAATACCAGTATGTCCCGCTTTTAATGATACTGAAATTTGCATTCAGATGCACAATATTTTTACAGAAAACTATTTTATTTGTTTAACTTAAACCAGTAGAACAAAACTTATATTTTGGAAACATGTATAAAGAGTACATAGGAATTGATTAATTATCATAGTGAATGATCTATAAAATAGAGATAATCCATAGGTCAAAAAGTATATACTAGATCTTTGAAAATCTTACTATATTACATGTTAATTATTTTTATTAATTTCATTTATTTGTACTATTTTAGCTACTCATGAAACTAATGTGTTATATTGGTCTCATCCAAATGGTATAAATGTACCTTTGAAGATCGATCACTATGATCACAAATTGTGTACAGATGTTTTTATTTTATCTGATGTAACTACAGTATCTTTCATATAAAATGTAGCTATTAATGGGATGTATTTGGTGTTAGTGGCACAATTGTTTATTTAATTATCTCAATTTTAGGCTTCTGTTGTAGCCTCTTACAGTACCGTTGTAAATATTGGGTGGGTCTTAGGGAGCAGTATCTCATCAACCCACTGTATAAACACATCAGCAGCAGTTCTTTTAGAGCCCAGTGTGGTGATTCTAGAAGAATCTTTTGTACTTGATACTCAAGCTGGATTTCATAAATGTTAAAATGGAGGTGACTTTAATAATTATCTAGTAGTCCAATCCTTTCATTTCTTACACATGTTTAAAAATGTGTGTATGTCTATGTGTATATGTGCATGGGTGTGAACTTAGCTGGAAGAGATGTTAGCATTAGCTCTGGAGGTGTTGAGGTCTTGCCTTTTGGGATGAGGTATATCAGATTAGAGTGCAGTTTCAGTTTTTTTGTTTTTTTTTTTCTCCCAGTACCAGGGATTGCGAGGACTTTGCTCTTGTGAAGCAGGTGTGGTGCCACTGAGCTAAATCCCCGGCCCTGCAGTTTCAATTCTATTTAGTCAGCTTTCTGAAGGAACTAAGGGAAGGAAAGATATACCTTATAAGATAGTAAAATGAAGTGTCAGAAACCAGCACTATATTCCGTGATGCTGAATTGGACTGGAAATCTTCACTTTCAGAGATTTTTACCTATAAGCATACTTACATTTATTCTCATATTTTTTTCCTTTATTAAATCAGAATACTCTTCCCTTTCAGGGCCAAATTTCAGCTGTCTTTTTTTTTTTGTTCCCTCTCCTCTGTTCTGAAAACCAGTGTAGCACATGGTCTCTACATCTTCCTGTCCTGTGTATGTCTCAGCTGCACCCATTTCATGCAGACCACCTGCTTGTTGAGTCCATTGGATGTATCTCACTTGAGCACATTGTCGTAACTCACATGATGGGCAGTTATTTCCAAAAAACACTTTTTAGAACCTTACTGTTGAGCTCTTCTGGCTTTTCTCCTAGTTGCTGAATATTTACCAGGCTTCTGTCATAGAAACATATTCACATATTTGCATATCCTCTCTCTCTCTCTCTCTCTCTCTCTCCCCTCTCTCCCCCCTCTCTCTCTAATTCAGCCACTGTCATGTATATAGCATATATATAGATAGCATCCAAATCTGTGGTTTCTTGCCTAAATTTCAGTCTCCCAAATCCAGCCACTTATGATGAAGTCTTTTTAACTTCTTGCATACCTCACAGAAGCTTTCATATAAGCCTAACAGTGAACTTACAGTCTTCCTCCACACTGATCCCTTAGCTTTTGTCCACCCTAACTTGGTAATTTCTCCTTTCTAGCCAGCCTATCTTGGGGCCCAGCCAGATATTAAATACTCTTTCTTCCCGCCATTTATCTTTGCTTTCACAGCCACTGCCTTTGTTTAGGCAGCTGTCAATTCTTGCCTGATTATTATTCTTACCTTAAGCAGAAGGCATTTTTTTAAGGTTATGCATTCATTTGTGTCACTCTCTTGAATAAAATGTTATGTTCTCTTTTCCCTCAAAAGAGTCTAGCCTTCATCACATGACTTACCGAGCCTGTTCCTTCTGCCTGCATCTGAAGATATCTTCAGGGCTGGGAATTTAGCTCAGTTGTACTGCCTGCTTCACAAAGTGCAAGGTTGTGAGTTCCATCTCTGGTACAAAAAAAAATATATCTTCATATGGTCATCCTGACAAAACTTTCAGTTTCTCCAACACCCTTTGCTCATTTGCCTCTAGGGCTTTTCAGGTGACATTCCATCAGCTAGTGGGGAACTTCTTAAGTCTTTAGGTCTCAGGTTAGCACCTCATCTGGAAATTCCTTCTGGTCTCCTAAAACTGAATGGGGTCTTCTTCCTGAATGTTTCCATAGCAGCACTTACTTCCTTAATCAGAACACCGTCATATGAAGGAGGCTGCTTATCTCTTTCTCCCACTAGACTTTGTTTTCTTCCACTCTTCAGTTGCCATCTGTAGTGATTTTAGTACATGTCTAGTAGTCAGTTGGAAAATACTGAATCAGTGTACCTACACTAAGTTATGATTTGGAAGTCATCTAACCCCTCTTCTTTAAAATGGGAGCTATAGATGCTTTAGTGGCCTCAGTGTCCTGTGTTGTAAGTACCTAAAAAGGGGGTTGGGGATGTAGCTCAGTGGCACCTCGCCTGCCTGGCAAGCACAAGGTCATGAGTACGAGAAGGCGGTGCGGGGGGGGGGACTACCTAAAAAGAGCTACATGTGAAATGACAAACATCCGGCAATCCTTTTGGGTTTAATATGAGATATAAGTGTGAACGGTGCTAATACACATATAGGGTACTGAAAATTATATTTGGTTAAAGGTCTCAGAAGAGCATAATTGTTTACTTCCACCAGGCCAGAAGTTATACCAGATTGCTCAATGAGCTATCACTGTGCATTATGACAAGTATGTAAAGGTTTTGAACCAGTGCACTATGAATGGATACTTTATTAATACCGTAACTGTGCCTTAAAAATGTGTAGAAGAATTTTTGATTAATCTAAACATTTTCTGCCAAACACAATATAGTCAGTACCATAGTGTTTTTCCTTCTAGTATGGATTATTATTTTGATATGGTTTAGAGAAAAGATTATGTTAGAGGTAAGCCTAATTGGCTAAATTAAAATTTTATCAGAATAACTGCTTCTCATTTTAAATGGCCTTTTTAGTTTTATTAATTATATATATAGTTCAGGCTGGCCTTGAACTGGGATCCTCCTGCTTCAGCCTCCCAAGTGCTGGGATTACAGGCATGTACCACCATGCCCGGCTATTAATTGTATTTGACCTTCCTTCCTTTGTTCTTGGCAGAGTCTCACTATGTAGTCCAGAATGGCCTCGAACCCACTATGTAGCCCAGGCTGGTCTCAAACTCAGGGTGATCTTTCTGCCTCAGCCTCTCCAGTGCTAGGAACTCCCTCTCTCTCTTTCTGTCTCTCTCTTTCCCCCTCTCCCCCTCTCCTCTTTCTCCATGTTCCCAACCAAAATATCGTTACTAAAAGAAATATTTTATATGAAGCTATACCTGTTAGATGAAGTTATTCAGCAGCTTTGTCACTAAAATTCAAAAATACAGTTTCAGCTTGCTAGTTATTCAGTAGCTACCTTCTCTATATCCCAAATGCATTTTTTTCTTTACTAATACAACTTTTGGTTTTAAATTCTTTTCCAGTAATTTGTTATAATCTGATATGTCAAATACTTCAATTTTTGCACAGATAATGCATATTTATTAAAGGTATAATTTAAAAACTTGTAATTTGATGAGTGGTTACTTTGGCCATTTTTAAAAAGAGAAATAGTTAAAACATCAGTATTTTTTCTTTTTGTTAGTGTGTTTGTGATCCATAATGAATGTATTCATCATGGGGTATTGGTATAGATATACATCCCATCTTTTTACTTCCCTGTCCCATCTCCCAACATCAGCATTTTAAAAGTGATAATGTTGGGCAGGGTTGTGTATGTTAATCCCAGCTACTTGAGAGGCTGAGGCAGGAGGATCACAAGTTTCAGGATAGCCTGGGCAACTTAATCTGACTCTGTCTCAAAATATAAAATAAAAAGGGCTG